GAGTCCGGGGCCTGGGCTCCACATGCTGTGTCATGTGGGGGTGGAGAAGGGAGAAGGAGTCGGGGAGTCTAGCCCGGAGCTACTACCCCGGGGGAAAGGAGCAGGAGAGACAGGAGAGATGGAGCAGGGGCTTCACAGCCCTGAACTGTCAGTCACTCCTTTCCGCTTTGTTTTGGACAGTGCCATCCGGGATTACTTCCCCACGCTGCTGCGCCTGGTAAGTGTCTGTGTTCATTGCTGTCTCATCTGATCTCCAGCCCTGCCCTCACATCCTTGGGGTCTTGCCTGGATGACTTGCTCCCATCAGACCTTTATCCCTTTAGGATACAGACTCCAGAGAAAGCCATGAATATACAATTTGGAAAAATATAAATACACACAGATACACACATACATGCCCCAGATGGACAGTTGGACACTTCCAAGATCTCATGTGGAAGATCCCCACAGTGCTTCATTCCATGAAATTTCCCAGATCATTTCATACTTGAGCTGACCATCACCTGCTTGTGCTCTCAGCCTTTCCCCTGATTATTCAGTGCCACCACCTGGTCTCCCCTGTTGACTTCCTATTCTTTTCCTAGGATGGGAAGGCGTTACCCCCACTGCTTGTGGTTGACATTGACAACTCCTACTTAACAAAGCCTTACAAGGTGAGGAAGGAGGACCAATAACATACGGTGTATTACAAGGAAGATTTTATTGCCAGATAACCACAAAGACCTTTTCATTCCAGAAACTCTCTAAAGATTCTGAGACAATGAAGAATCTGATTCTGCGCTTCCTGCAGCAGTAAGTACCCTTGGGACCAGGAGGAAAGGGGAGAGCTGGGATAGGTTGTGAGCCTCCCAAGTACAGGCCAGCTCATGGGAACCCGCAAGTCTCACTTAGAGTTCAGACCACTGGGGGTCACATTGGGATCCAGAAATCCACTGTTCCCTTTGCCTCCTCACAGATATTACTTTTTCTATGACTGTGGAGACCGACATGGTCTCCTGGATGCTTACCATGATGAGTCCTGCTTCTCCCTGAGTATTCCTTTCAACCCCGAGGACCCAGCTCCGTGAGTATCACTGCCCATACTCTCATCCCGCTGTCTGGATTCAGCTCAGGCCTCCTTCCAATAAAACCCACACTGGCTTGGCTACAAATTCTCATTTCTCTTTCTCCTAGAAGCAGCCTGTGGCTGTACGTCAAAGACAGCAGGAACATGAAAAACATTACGGACCCCTGTAAGTGTGTTATGTGGAAGTCAGGCAGGGAAAGGCCTCACAGAGGTCAATCACGGGGACCTGGGTGTGGTAGCGCCCCCATCTTTGCATCTTTTCCCCCCAACAGACTTACGGAATCGGCTTCTGAGGCACACAAATCATGATATTGTAAAGGCCCTGTGCATGTTGCCCCAAACGCAGCATGACCTCAGCTCCTTCCTGGTGGACTTGTGGGTCCACACGGTGAGCACCCACTTCCTCCCCCGGGCAGCCCCAGAGAGCCACAGATGGGTGGGACGCTTAGGTGGTGACCGAGCACCTGGGCGCTTCCCTTTCAGGAAACCATGCTCTGCTTCTCTGTCCATCTGGTGGTGAAGGAAGGTGAGTGCATCCCCCAGAAGGTAGAGTGTCCCCCAAAGCCCCCGCGGCTCCCTCCCCCTGCCTGGGCTCCCTCTCGGGATTCTGCCAGCTCCCTGGATCCCTTCCCCTGCCCCCCATTCCCTGTGTTCTTCAGTTCCCACCCTGCCCCCAATCCTGCCTGTCTGCCCCACACCCACACCCACCCCGCTGGGGAGTCAGGGAGGGACACAGGCCACAGGCTTCCATGGCCTCACCCCAGGTCCTTCCTCTGGGACCTGGGAGCCCCTGCTGAACCGAGAGCAGTTTCCTCATTTGCAAAATGGGGTTCCTGGCACCCCAGACTTGGTTAGCTAGGAAACATGAGTGGCTGAACACGTGGACCGGCTGTCACGGGACCTGGTGTGCAGTCGGGTCCCTGTCCCTGGGGGCAGGTGGCTCCTGTTGTTGCCCTGCCCTTTCCACACACCCTGACTCCCAGGGGACAGTTGTTCCTTGATTCTGCCTGGGCAGCCAGGGAGACCCTGACTGGGGATCGCTGGAAGTGTGTGAAACATGTGAACCCCAAGGGGGTGTTACTGTTTTTTGTTTGTCTTTGAAGTGGATGGAAGGTCTCCATTTTCTGTTCGTGCCTTCACAAGGAACTTCATCGCTACTCCTGGCAGAGATTCCAAGTGAGCTCCGCGTTGGGTGTGGGACACACAGGGTGGCCTGGGCCAGCTGTGGAGGATGTGGCCATGTACTACCCCTCTCCCTGCCTCTCCCTCCCCGCCCCCTCCCCCTCCTCCATTTCCTCAACATTGTGCACAGTCTGCTGGGAGATCATGGTGCAGTCTGGCCTCGCTGTTAGGAGCGACATGGGCCTGGAGTAAGCCCTGGGGCTCCCTGCCTGACCCCGACCCTCACTAGCTGTGTCACCTTGGTCTAGTCACATGACCTGTGTGTGGCACGGTGTCCCCTCTGCAGATGGGCTTAGAGTGTCCTCTCCGGTACTTTACACAGCAAATGCACTGGGGTTCCCCCGTACCTGTGAAGCTGGAGGCAATCTCTCTGAAGGAATCTGGCTGCTGAGGGGCAGAGGGAGGAGCAGGTCATTGTTGGGTGTGTCTGTCTGTCCAGTTGTCTGAGGGCCTGTTTTTCTTCCAGTCTCTGCATCGTGAATGACGAGCTGTTTGTGAGGAACGCCACCCCCTATGAGGCTCAGAATGCGTTCTCCAACCCACTGCCCGTGCCCATCTCCAGCTTCGTGCCTGTCCTCTCACAGGAGCAGCAGCAAATGGTGCAGGCTTTCTCCAGCCAGTCTGGGATGAACCTGGAGTGGTCTCAGAAGTGAGTGTGCAGGGGCCTCGGGGTGAGCTGGGACAGTGGGGGGAGTGAATCTCAGAAACAAGCTGGCATCTGGAAAAGTAATTATATGCATATTTCATTTCCAGAAAAGTAGTGGGGCAGTGTAAAATACCTTGTATCATATATGGGAAGGATTTTCATGTAGTGTAACATTCGAATCACATTCTCTCATATTTGAAAATTCAAAAGAATAACTGAAAAATGGATTAAATAAGTAAAGCAGGGTTGTAGGCTATAACACCAAAACACCAAAAAAAATTTGTTTTTCTATATACTTGTAATGAACAATACAATAATGAAATAAGAAAGTAAGCCCATATATAATAGCATCAAAGTAGTTAAATACTTAAGAAGTATAACAAAAGAAGCACAAATCTTATACTGTGAAATCTGTTCATCGGTTGGGAGACGCCATTGTTAAGTGGAAGTACTCCCCAGAGCAATCTACTGATCCAACATAATCCCTCCCAAAATCCTGCTTTGCAAAACCCGACAGGGTTAGCCTACGCTTCATGTGGAAGTGAGCCAAAACAATCTTCTTGTTTTCAAAACTTGTTACAAAACTACAATCGTCAAGACTGTGGCACTGGCATGTGGACAGCGTCAGTCAGGACGCTGTCCAGCCACCCACAAAGCCTTGCACGCAGTCATTTGACTACCCGGTAGAGTGCTGACACAATCCCAAGGAAAAAAAAGTCTTCAACTGTCGCTGGGACAACCATTTCCCCACATGCTTAGGTGACTCATACCATGACTCATACCATGCACAAACATAGACTGAACATGGATCAAAGGTCTAAAAGCAAGAGCTAAAACTATGTAAAAAGAAGGTTAGGAGAAGAAAAATGAGGTGTGAGTCTCTCTGCGCCAAGCAACTCTGTGGTATATGACACCAAGAGCACAAACAGCCAAAAAATAATGCGATAAGTTTGATTTCATCCAAATGTAAACTTTTTTTTTTGCATCAGTGCATGCTTAAAAAACCAAACCAAACCAAACAAACAAACAACAACAACAACAAAAACTAAACAGAAAGCCCAGCAGCAGAAAGGGAGGAGATGCGTGCAAATCACACAGCTGATGAGAACATGCCAAGAACTCTTGCAGCTCAACAATAAGAAGACAGATGACCCGACTTAAATGCAAAGTAAAACCACATTGAGTTACCAATTCATTCAGACCCGCACAGGGTGGTTTTATTCAGTGAAACAACTGGTAGCGAGCATAGGGGAGGATGTGAAGACAGCAGAATTCTCCTCTGTTACTGGTGGGGATATGAAGTGGCGCAGGGGCCGGGGAAACCGCCTGGCGGCTCTAAGACATGGAGCATGGAGTTGCCACGTGCCCCAGCAACGGCACTCCGAGGTGTATGCCAGGAGACAGGTACACGTCCGCGCACTCACAAGTCGTGTGCCTGGCAGCAGCACTCACAATAGCCCCAAGTGAAAACAACCCACACGTCCCTTAGCTGACGACTAGATAGATAAGTCTGGCCCAGGCACAGGTGGAATTTCCTTCCAACCATAAAAGAGAATACAGTTTGGATAGGTGGCGTGCCGAGGAAGGACCTTTATGCTAAGAGCAGGAAGACGGCCACAGGGGGTGCCCCTGTTGTAGGATGCCACTCGTTCAGAATGTCTAGAATGGGCAGGTCCGCGGGGAACAAAAGTGGATTCCTGGTTGCCTGGGTGTCTGGGGGCAGGGGAGGAACAGGGAGGGATAGCTAAGGTGAGGGGGTTTCCTTTTTGCCATGATGAAAATATCTTGGAATGAGATAGTTGTGACGGGTGCCAGTCTTGCAAATACACTGACGTGTACACCTAAAATGGTGAGTGCGACGGTCTGCTGTCCATCTCAATGCAAACAATTAGAGTATTTGTACGTTTAAAATTTTTGTTATTTTTCCTGAACGTCTTTGTTTATCAATCTATCTTCAGTCGCCTGGCTCTTTCTTAGAGCTCTCTTTCCTGTTTTGAATCCGTGGGCAGGCATGCTAGCGACAGAAGTTTTGGCTTTCACTTAGGTCTGTGTTTGTCATTACACGCGGTGCTCACGTCGGGACATGTGTCTCGCAGGAGTGTCTTGGCGCTAGTGGCTGCACTGCATGGTCAGCTCGGGAGGCCTGAGCTGTGGTTTTGATGGAGACCCCATGTTCTCCTCCCACTTCAGGTGCCTCCAGGACAACGCGTGGAACTACACTGGAGCTTCTCACATCTTCATGCTGCTCAAGGTCAGGTCTGGGATTAAAGGCGGTTAAAGATGAATGTTTGAAGGCCTTGAGGAGGGCCAAGAAGGTGGGGACCAGATGCCTGGGGATGAAGCTTAGGAAGCTGGCTATCCTGACAGCTCATTTCTTTTCCTTCCAGAATGACGGCAAGATTCCAGAGGAGGCCTTCAAACAAACCCCCTAAGAGGAGCCAGGGATATCCTGTCTGTCTCCCTCTCTATCACCTTTGTTTCCCTTTTCTCCACCCTAAAGCCACACACTAGAATTAGAAATGGAGGCTGACCAAGAAGCCATAGTTCCCTACCTGGTAGGGTCAGTTGGGTCAGCTCTTGTTTTCCACACCCAAGATCCCTGTTCATTTTCATAATAAAGAGTGGCATTGCAAGTTGTACGTTGCCTGATTGCCTGTCCCCGGTTGCTCTTCCCTTGCTCCAACCACATGCCGGTGGTCCAGGACTGAGTAGCACGTCCCATTTCCCCCCACACTTCCAGTCATTCACCCTGGCAGTCTGCAGCCCATACAGAGGCCTGAGTCCGCAGGCAGCTGGCCAAGACATTCTGATGAGACGGGACACACCCCCTTCCTGGGATGGGCCTTGGGGACGGTGTGACTCTCTCAGGTTCCCCATGGGAGGCCCCCACAGGCAGGCAAGTTCCCTGCAGCAACTGGGCCTTCACAGAGTGGGGTGGGGGGATGCCTGCTGGTTAGCGAGGGCCATGGAAGGATGGAAGGTGGTGGCTCACGGGATTACTTCTTATTCCTGATCCTCCGACGCCTCCAAAGACCACACTGTGAACACTCCACGATCCACACGCAGGTAGATCCCACCATTTGTGTACTCTTCTACCCACTCGACTGCCCCTTCTCCTTTCTGATGCTGCACACTGGGGGTGGGGAGGATCTCTCAAGCGCCTCACAGTGAGGAGGAGTCCGTCTGTCCAGTGCATTTCTCAGAGAGCCGACCCCTCGTGCTCCATGCCCACGTTTTGGAGGGCGCTCAGCCAGTTATTTTTTTCTTCCAAACAAGCAGCAACAACAGGAAATCACACAGCGTGGTCCCTTCTGTGAGACCTTTCTCAACGACTGCCCACGAGCAGCTCAGAATTGAAGGGGACACAAGCACGTTTACTTTCTGCACTTTTGTAATGTTTGCAATTTGCACAAAAGTGGGCATTATTTTTGACATTAAAATAAGAGTAAAAATTTCCAAGTTGTCATCCTACAAATGATCATATAACATATATATATAATATAAATTCAAATATGTTCAATAAAATAACTAGTAAGCCGAATTCATTGACCATGTTTGAAGAGTCTTCACTGGGATACAAAGATAGTTCAATATGTACAAATCAATTAATGTGCTACATCACATACAATAAAGGAAAATTCATATGATCATCTCAATGGACACAGAAAACGTGACACAATTCAGCATCTATTCATGATCAAGGAAACAAGTATAGCTATATACATACTTCAATATAAAAATGGCTATCCATATAACACACTCATGGTTAACATAAAACTCAGTGGTGAAAGTTTTAAAGCTTTTCCTCTAAGATCAGGAACTTCAGACAAAGCTCCTCACATTCAATGCTCTACTTAGCATAATACTGGAAGTCTTAGAGCAGTTAAGCTTTAAAAAGAAATAAAAAGTTGTAGTGGGGCTGGGGGAAAGTAAACATTGTTTTAAAATGAACAATAATGTAAATAGATATATACATTAATAATAATAAGTTGGGCCTCCCTGGTGGCACAGGGGTAAAGAGAGCATTAGTGATCACCAGCCACTGCAATAAAGTTAAATCCGCCAGCCCCAGAGCTGACCACATGGCCCATCAGACCTCTCCTGTCTCACCCGCTGCTCCCCTCAGCAGTGCATTTCAGTTAGTCTGCCTGTTCTGCTCCCCACTATCTCTGGTGAGTCTTCTCACAACACCCCACCTCTGGCCTATACCCCTGTTCTTGTATGCAATAAATAAGTAAATCTTTCTTTAAAAAGAAATAAAAACCATCAGAATTGGAAAGGAAGAGGTAAAGTTGGTTCAACTTAAAAATGACATTTTTTAATATGAAGAAAATCCCAGAGACTCCTCAGATATAATCAGTGGATTCAGTCAAGTAGCATGAAACAAATTTAACACCCCAAAATAAGTAGCATTTATGAACACCATGAATTATCTGAAAAAAGAAACAAAATGATCCCATTTATAATAGCATCAAAAATAAAAACAATAAATGCAACCGAGTTGGTGAAAGAGCTACATGCCCAGACCACCTCCGGCCCTGCGTACACAGCATTTACCTAGGCGTCCCTGCCACCTTGTGATGTGGGCCATCATTTCGAGGTAGTCATATAGTGAGTGCCTCACCCACCTCTTTTGCACACACTTAAGTGCATAGAGAGGCCATGCACACAGGTGCTGAGGCCCTGGATGGAAAGGAGGTCACACAGTGGGAGTGGCCAGGATGCCCCAGTGGAACCCAGACAAGCGACAGCCAACACAGCAGCTGCAGCAGCAGAATGACTGGACAAATGGCCACACGCACAGCTCAGCCAGGTGCCGGGCTCCAGGTCTCCGCCTTCCCTGCCAGGCTGTAACAGCAGTAAGACTGTGAACAGTTTCAGTCACTTGGTTAATTGCAAAGCTTCTAAGCTTTTCATCTCTGAGGTTGGCTGCTGAAGACCTCCACTTTCAGAGGCCCAAAACAGCCTTCTGGTCATTCTGCTGCTGCAGCTGCTGTCTTGACTGTCGCTTGTCTGGGTTCCACTGGGGCATCCTGGCCACTCCCACTGTGTGACCTCCTTTCCATCCAGGGCCTCAGCACCTGTGTGCATGGCCTCTCTATGCACTTAAGTGTGTGCAAAAGAAGTGGGTGAGGAGCTCCTATATGACCACCTCGAAATGATGGCCCACATCACAAGGTGGCCCTGAATCTGCTGAATCTAAAAGCTGAAGATCCAAAACCCCTGAATCCTGAAGGTTGAAGGAAACTGCGCTCCCTTCTCCAGTCCTTATATTTCTTATTCCTTGTTCCACCCCAACAATGCAATACTCTAGCATTTTCCCTGGTGCTGGCTATCCTCACCAGAAACCCTCTCCAGGAGGCTCCGCCTGTAACAGCCGTTTGCGTTCAGTCACCAGTTATAGCAGGAGTAACGATACAAAGAATTATCTTGATACCAGGAAAGTTGGGAAAGCACCAAAATCCGCACGCGATGGTGCCCAGGCAGACTTCAAGGAGTTCTTGCTGTGAGACCTAAAATTATTATGAGGCTGACAGCCAGGCCTATGGTGGCTCCCTGTGTGGGGAACAAGATCAAGTCAGCTTTTCTTATTGAGCAGGGAATCCTTGTGAAAACGTTGAAGACACAGGCACAGAGTCAGAGCTAACTAAAAAAATAATAATAAAATAAATGAGGCTTTTTGGACAAATAAAAAAAAAGCCAAAAGCTTGTTCCGTTAAAAAAAAAAAAATAGGGCCCTCCCTGGTGGCGCAGCGGGTTAAAGCACAGCACTAAGAAGCTAAAGCCACTTCCACATGAGTTTGATCCCCACCCCGGAGGTGACCACATGGCGCAGCAGACCCCTCCTAACCTGCCCACTGCTCCCCTCAGCAGTGCACTTCGTCAGTCAGCCTGTTCTGCTCCCCACTCTGTCTCTGGCGAATCCTTTCACTGCCCCTGCACCTCTGGCAGTTCCGTATGCACAAATAAATCTTAAAAAAAAAATAGCACAATTTCCCAGCAGGGCAAGTACCCTGCATTGCCTTGAGTACTTTCTATGCAGTGTTTCATTATCACCTGCAGTGGCAAGTGGTTCCCATTCAACAGGAGAGAAAAGGTGAGACTGAGAGAAAGGAAACTTCTTCTAAAGATCATCATCATGCAGCAGATACCCAAGGTCACTCAAAGCCCAGAGTCCCGAATCTCTATTTCTGTATCAAGTGTAATTCTGTCTTAGAACCTTCCAAACTTACCCAAGGTCCTAGAGTTTAGCACTGGCTCCGGGTAGCAGAAAGCAGCCTTCTGTTCAGTGTATTTATTATTGCTTTGTGGCCGTATGTCCTCTTTTTCCCTGTGGTACAGTTGGAAACAGTCCCTCCAGTTTCAAACTGGAAGGTAAAAGAACCAGAGAGGAAATCACCTGCAATAAAAGCAAATTATTTTTTTCTTTTCTTGCCTAGCTTATTCCACAACACAGAAATGACACCAAAACTCACACACTAGTTAAACAGCGGCACATTTCTCTTTGGCCACATTCCTGGGTGTTCGGGAGGTGGGATGGTTCTAATTTTTGTCCAAGGCCTAAAACATGCCAGACATATTCAGAATTTCCATCAGTTATTTGAATAAAGTATGTGTCATTGTTCCCATTTAATGGATGATAAGGATAAGCTCACTAAACACTATATTTGAGCAGGGTCACTCACTGAGTGAGGAGCTGGAATGGAGTTCTCCCTCTTATTCTCCCCACAACAGTCTCCCTTTTTGAAGATGGACTAACAGGCTGACTGATTCTTTCAAACTGCCTTAGAATTTTGTGGACATGAGTTCTCATGAAACAAGATATTAATTATAGAGATAAACTTGTGTCTGGTGCCCAAGTAGAGGATAGTTGAGCTGGTCCTTGAGGTATAAAGCAAGACTGACATGAAAGCAGAGTTTCTGCTCGCTCTGGAGGGTGACCTGAGGAAAGGTTTTTGAAATTTACACAAGGACTTTGATCAATAGTACTTTATATTTTAATTTAATCCTAACAGCTATTCGAGTTGCTGTTCATTGTTGACTTTATTCAGATCAGGATACAGGAGTTATGAGATGTTAGGCAACTTTCCCCAGTGAAAAGAACCTTGTAAATTAATGCTCAGGAACTCAAAACCTGTAATTACACAGAATGCCAATAATTTATCTTCTGTTATGTGGGCAGGCAGTCAGGAAGCTCAGTGTATTATTTAAGGTTCCTTTTTAACAAGTGTGATTGCTTTTGTATCTGAACATCTCTGTGCACATGTCTTATGTGCACAATATATATATATGTATATATATTCTATATATGTATAGACAGATATTGGAATATTTGTGTTATATGACATATATCCATATATACTGTAAACAAATGCTTGATTACATAAATATCTGTATATATGGTTTGCAAATAGTTACAAAGTACAAAATA